CGTTGACAGCTGGAAGGCCGAGAGGCTGCCCCGGAGGGCAAAGCCGTGCAGGGCTGAAATCCACTCACTGTTCTGTTTTTCCCGTCTCCGCATTATTATCTGTGAGTTTGTGGCCGTAATTTTAATGGGCTGAGGGGGTGTTGCCATCTGTTATTCTTTAGCTGAGTTGTTGCACAACCTTGGGGCTCTAAATGTGCCAAAGGCCATGCTGCGAAGCGTTCAGAAAAACCCCGTGTAGGTCTGGCACCTCCTGCTTCCCACTTAAACGGTGGAGATGACTTCAAAACATCAGGGCTTATAGTTCAGGGTATTTTATACAATGTAGTTCCTTAAGCACACCTAGCTGTATTACCTATGCTAATTTTTTAAAATATGTGATGTATAATAGTTGTTTTTCTTAAGTACTAATGTTCTGCTATATTGAACCACCAATAACCTCCGAGCTTCAACCTAGAAAGTAAAAATTATTCAAAACTCAGGTATTACCTTGTTTGGCATTTACACAGGCCTTTTTCTGGTTTCCCCATTTTCAGAGTCATTCATGAGTCTGAATTAGTTGAAGAGCCCTTCGTCAGAGCTTCCTGGCAGCAGTGTTATTTTGCCCCGAAGTGATGCAGCTTGACCATGTGTCCAAAGTGTTGCTGTGACAGTGTCAGTGAGGGAGGAAGTCTCTATCTGAAGCCAGTTGGTGTTTTATAGCTCAAAAGTAATGATTTAGGCAAGGGAAGCAGACAGTTAGTTAATGTCTACAGTAGGGCATTGGTATTTCAAGTTCAGCCTACTGACATGTTACCCCAGCAACAAACTGCTCTTGACAACTCTTTTCATTTTTGTCCCGAGTTATGTGAAGGAGAATAAAGGTTAGTGACCTCAACTTATTGTTGTCCTATTTTTTTATGTGATGTGCAGCTTTTCGAAGAAGTTCTGTAGTTCTTTTGGCATTAAGGTAATAAAGATTGCATCACTTCCATGTATATCCATGTCATACCCTTTTCCTGACAGCAGATTATTCTAGTGTTAGTCTTGCCTGTGTAATGATCATGTTTCTAACTGTGACAGAGCTTATGCAATAGTGCAAGGAAAGGCAATAGGAGTTGCATCTGAGCATCACTAGCAGTAGCTTGTAACTGAATCTAACTGTTCCTCTGAGTCAAGCAATAGGAAAGGTGACAGTAGACAGACGGTCATCCAAATTCTTGCATGTAGCAAACTGTGATCCTTTGTCACTTGATCACTCGTGCAACTTCCAGCTATGAATCCCACCTGTCCAATTCATATTTCTATTTGTGGGGGGAATGTTGAGTTTTTCCAGAGTAACTATCAGTATTGACCTTGCATACTACTCTGGTACAAAAACCACAATAGACATAAGTTCTCTCGTATAAATTTGACAGCTGCTTTCATACAGGGTATCACTTTTAGCATTAGTTTGAATTCAGTACTTTTTCTAGCGTAGACAAAACTTTTTGGTGGCAAAGCTATGTATGGCTCTGTCGAGGGCTGCTCCTTAAAAAAAACCAAAACCAATTATTACGATCATGTGGCTTTTTTTCAACCTCATCTTGTCTTTTTCCAGATAAAATAAGGTATAAAACATTCTGAAGGATCTTTCTAGATGTTTGTTGGTATTGTTTGTTTGTTTTGTTTTTCTATATAAAAGTGGTAGCAGTAACACAAAACTTAGCAAGATACCATTTTGCAATGTCTGTGGCTTGTGAAGACTGGAAATGAATAATATATTGCCTACTGGAAAATGCAACCCTGAACTATTAATAAACTGACTTAACAGTTCATTATTCAATTATGTCATAGCCTCCCCCTCTTCTATGCCTAGCAGTGGTCTTTCTGCATTTCTTCACCTTTCAACTTTATAGATGTTTTCAGTATCCTCTGGAAACACTTTTTTCACTGTGTTGATACCTATTATTGCCTGTGTTCTTCATGCTTCTTGTGGTGTGACCTTGTAACCATCTCTGCATAGCATTTTAAGAGCACAGTTATCTACCATAACTTTATTTTGAAGCTACTTGTTGACTGTAGCTTTCTGTAATGTCCTTGTCTTCTAGAGTTTCCAGTAAAATGTCTGGTACTTTTGCACTATTATGATTAATACAATTTTTTTAATGTTATGAAATAAGTGACTGGTCTGATCACGCTTTTTTTTCTTTCTACATTTTCACATAAGAAAATCAAGAACAAACCTTTTTCTTAGTGTTTAGGCTAATTTGTTTTCGCACAGTATTGATTTGGGTCTTTCTAGAAATTTATCCAATTAAATGTTTTTCACTTTTTTCCCAAACATTTCAGAGATTCATAACTACTGAAGGATGAAAGAGAGTAAACCAACCTTTTAAAATCAAATTCAGACATGTTTTTGCACAGTATTAAGGCATTCTGAAAATAGCTGTAACAACAATATTTGTGCGCACTAAACTTAAGCAAAGAAAGCATTTACAATGAAAAAGAATAAATTTGTGATAAGTATTAGGAAGAAAAATAAACTTCAGATAGTTTGGCAGCAGCTTATTAAAAGAAAGCAGACATGAGTCTGGGACATTACCAAAATATTCTGATAGATATTGGTTAATAGTTTTTATTTATAGTTTATAGTTTTTAAACTCTTGCTAAACCTGCATGTAGGTAAACATTGGAGAGAGAGAGTATTCACTATTGGGCAAGAAAATCAGGTTTTATAAGTGTGTGTATAAATGAAAGATATATTGCTATGTCTCTGTGAACATAAATTTTAATTATGCTTAATTATTTCTAAATAATCAGTTGCGCAATACTTAAAAATGGATACGGCAGTTCACTTATGTTCCGTGCTGTTAAAGCCTGGGATTCCTGGTATAGCTGTCAGTTCACGTGAGCGCTGCTTGCCACAGGAACAAAATTTAAGGTAGCCAAGAATTCTTTTATCACTGTAGTAATTGTATTATACTTGATGTGATATTGTTTCAGAAGAGGGTTTCTACATTTAAAGTTGTGCTGCAGTCAGGCTGGTAGCTTTAGGAGACTTGAACTGTATAGATCTTACACCTCATGTTCTTTTTCTCTTCAGCAAATGCTTCAAACCATTGCAGGGCATGGATGGAGGTCACATTGTAGTAAACCTGCTCAAAACTTACATATAGGCAAACCTGGAGCTGGCTTTAGCTTTGGTAAGTATTACAGTTTTTGAAAGAAATATAGCAATTCAGGGCAAATTGCAGAGTTACAAAAAAAAAAAAAAAAAAAAATCCTATTTCTAAAAAAAAAAAAAAACTGTATTGCATTTCAACATGAATTTAAAATGAAGGTGTTTATTCTAAATAGGTTTCTATTCTTTTTTTAAAAAAAGGTTTGGAAACCAAAATTACTTTATTCCTCAGCTCAGGCAAGTCGGGTATGTGTGTAGTGTTTATAAGATTTTCTTCTTTTTTTAACTCATGTCTGTCTTAAGCTTTTTTCCTTGCCAAAGTGTCTTAGCTTTGAATAATTATCTCACATTGCCGTTTACAATGTTAAAGTAACTAAATGTAGTCATAGTTGAACTTGGTTATAAGGAAATGTTATAAAGAAATTCATCCTCATCTTGGCATATTATACACATAAAGCAAATTTAGTGGGTCAGCAGCTAGATGTTTGAAACTGAATAGGCAGGATCTTTGGACGACATCTGCTTCCTTCTCTTCCTCCAGTTAATTAGCACAGCATTCTTCTTGTTTCTTTTGGTAATACATTTTATGTTACACAGTCCTCTCTACTCCGTTTTCAATATTTTGTGGATAATTTCGTCAGAAGTAAGTAAGTGCATTGTAGGTGTTGATGAGAGAACAGTGGAGGTTTTCTCCCAGAAGAGGAAGCTGAGCATTTTTGCTTCCTGGAGAGGCCCAGGAAGTGGTGGTTTGGGTTGTCCTCTTGTTTACACTCTTGTTTACTCTTTTCTCATAGTCTGACAACTGGCAAAATTAAAGATAGTAGAGAATTTGTGACTTTTTTTTTTTTTAAATAGAACTTACTGATGAACAGAAGGAGTTTCAAGCTACTGCTCGTAAATTTGCTGTGGAGGAAATTATTCCTGTTGCTGCACAATATGACAGAACTGGAGAGGTAAATCTACCATAGTGTAAGGGAAAAAATAGACTTTTATCTTAACCTGCATAAAATTTAAAATGTTGATTGTAATGAATCAGAAGGTGATTTTTCCCTGTCTATTTCAGTATCCTCTTCCACTTATAAAACGGGCTTGGGAACTTGGTCTTATGAATGCACACATACCAGAAAGCTGTGGTAAGTAAACATTCTTTTTAATCTGTAAAATGAAACAAAGAAAAGGCATTAGATGAGATTTTTATGTGTAATTATGGGTTCTGTATAAAATAAACAGTTGCATACTTGAATAATCTAAATTTAATCAGTAGGCAGGTTGACACATACAAGTGTTACTAGGTATGGATGTAATCAGGAGACAAATTAGACAGATTATGATTTAGTAATTTATGACCAGATTTTCCTACCGTGATTACAACTGCCTAATGTTCCCCTGGTGCACTGTGTCAGCTGATTAGGCAGAGAAATTAGAAGGTCATATTTCGTTCTAGTCTCTGACACAGGCTGGAGCAATTTAAGAGTTTATTCCAGAAGGACAGTTTTCCAGTTTAGATTAGGTGCGGTACAGCAGTGCTTTGGCAGTGTTTAGGTACATGAGTAACCATAGAAAAAATGTAAATTATTTTCTTTTTGCATTTATATTACCTGAAAAAGAAGTTAGGGAAGTGTCCATAGCAGACCCTTTTTTTGGAAGACTAATCAGAGGGTATATCTTGTATCAAAAATTTAATAAACGAGGTTAAGGAACAAAGAGACAAAAGGAGCAATTGTGAGGACCAGATTTATTCAGCCACGAATTCTAGAGAAACTAAAGGCTGAAATAGCTGGACTACTGCAGTGTATAATCAATTGGTTATTGAATGAAAAATTGCAAGTGGCAAATTGGACACCATTGCTTTAAAAGGTCTCCAAGGGACGTCTGGGAAAATACATACTAGTAAGCCTGATACACCGTGTAAATTAAGAGCAAGTAAGATGAAGTACAGAAATAGTGGGCACAGATAAACATGATATGCTAGAGAGGGATTTTTGTGAGAGGAAGTCATGCCTCATAAAATCATTGGAGTTCTCTGAAGTAGCTAATAAGTGTGTGAACAAGGGATGCCTGGTTGGTATAAAATGCTCGAACTTCCAAAATGAATCTGAAAAATCATCAGGTTTCATAGTGGAAAAATTAGCAGCACAGCCTTGCTGGGTCTTGTGCTATTTGGAATATCTATAAATAAACTGGAAAAGGGGGTCAATATTGAGGTGATAGAGTTTGGTGATAATACTAAGTTATTCAGTGTAGAAAAGGTGAGGCTGGTGCAAAGAGCTGCAGGAGAAGGTCATGAAACTGAGTGACTGTTAAAATGGCAAATGCAATTCAAAAAAGGAAGAGTGATGCACATGTGAAGGGAAAGAAGCAACCCGAACTTCACAGAGAAATGGTATCTTCTGAACGAGTTACTGCCTCTCGAAAAAGAGATTTTGGGGTTTATAATATATAGTTCTGTGAACGTCAGCATAATGCTCAGAAGTGGTCAAAACCATAAAATTCAAGGTCAGAAGGGACCTTTAAGGGAATGAAGAAAAAAGCAGAAGGCATAATTCTGCTGCTGCCTGAATCCAAATTGCATTTGCCTCTTTAATTCATTATGTAGTCAGATCCTTCCATCTCAAAAGAGTATTGTGGAAATGGAGAAGGTTCCTAAAAGGATGACAAAGATTATAAAAGATGTATCTTCTGTGTGAGATGTAGCTTCTGTATGAGAAATGACTAAAATGTCAGTGTCATGGAGAGTGTGAAAAGGGATTGATAGTCGACTGTCCTTTCCAATATAACTAGAAGGCATCAAATTAAGTCAGCACATGGCAGGTTCAAAATAAATGAAAGGAGATGGTTCTACACACGGTGTGTAGTTAATTTGTGAAACTCATTGCCCTTAGATGATATTGATGCTAAAATTTTACATAGATTCAAAAAGAGATTGGGCAAATTCACGTAAGAAATGTCTGTCAAGGGTTAGCATAACAAAGATACCAAAGAAAGGTATCTCTTTGAGAAAGTCACCTGAAGGCTCGGGAAAATATTTTTGAGGAAGTATAATTGTATCGGTTTTGTATTTGTATGTGCTTCCAAAGTGTTGGCTTCTGTCAGAAATGGGTTACTGAGTTGGTTGTGAGACTAATACGGACACTTTTTTCCCCCCGAAGTGCTGTGGTAGCTCAGGAGCCCTTTCTCTGCTTCCTAAGAACTCTTAATTCTCAAATGTAAAGTAGTCAAAAAATTCAAGTGGTACGTTCTTGCTACTTTGTGCAACCTGTCCCACATTAATCACACAATAACCCTGGAACTATTGTATGTAATTTTCAAATCACCTGTTACTCTTCTGACAAAACTTTATTTAAAAAGCTTGCATGAGAATGTCTAATCAAACACGGTACACAATCAAATGTATGTGGGGGGAATACGTTTTTGTTAATTAATTTGTGTAAATCACTAATATGTTACAATTTAAACCCATTTTAGTAAATGAAATATTTCAACTGTAGGTGGTCTTGGCCTTGGCAGTTTTGAAGCATGCCTTATTACGGAAGAGTTAGCTTATGGATGTACAGGGGTTCAAACTGCCATTGAAGCAAATTCCCTAGGGGTAAGTTCTGTCTTTTCTTATGTCCCTTAAACTAGAATCTGTGCACTTTAAAATGATGGATTAATGGTCTAAATATTTTCTTCCAGCAAATGCCAGTAATCATTGCAGGAAATGAGCATCAGCAGAAAAAATACTTAGGAAGAATGACAGAGGAACCAATGATGTGTGTAAGTATAACTGCTACACCGTAGAATGTTCCTAAACCATATTAATCAGTATTACTCCTTTCCTTCCCCCAAGTCAGGGAATAGCTAATGAGATGCATTCAATAAGCCAATAGAAGATATTACTTGAAAAATTGTCCCCATCCTAAGTCACTTACCAAAAATTAGTATCTTTTATATCCCTTTCAAGAGGGGGTGTAGGCATTTAAGAAAAATACAAGGTTTGTATAAGGAGAAACTCAATTTGGATGGAAATTAAACACTATTTGTGATCTTAATTACTATATAAGCAGTACTTGTTACATAGAAAGAAGTAAAGATTCATGTGCAATGCATTAAAATCTGAACAACTAAGCCTCATAAAATGAAGGACACAGTAAACATAAAATGCTACTCAGTGCTCTTATTTTCAGATTTTAAAGATCCTCAGCTTTCACATCAGAGTTTGTGAAGCCTGAGGAAGTAATGACTTACGGGTTACAGAACGGTTCTGTTTGATTAAAAGTCAATTTTATGTATTATTACGGATTTATAAAGAAAATTAGCCCATATATGTTTGGATTCTTGCTCAGACAGCTGTTGTGGGTTTTTTTGGGCTGGGTTTTGGGTTTGTTTTTTTTTTTTTTTAATTTAATGGTTTGGGTTTTACCATGCAGTTCACTTAAATGTTTTACAGATCAGTTTGATGCACATAGTCTGCAATAATTTGTGGTTGCCTAAAAATAGAACTTTTATTCCTCAAGGTTTTGCATTTTATTTTCTTCTAGGCTTACTGTGTAACAGAGCCTGGAGCAGGCTCTGATGTGGCTGGTATAAAAACAAAGGCTGAGAAGAAAGGAGATGAGTATGTTATTAATGGTCAGAAGATGTGGATCACAAACGGTGGGAAAGCAAACTGGTGTGTTAATTCATGTTTTATTTTCTGTAGTTATGTTATATAGTGGCTTCCCCCCCACCCCCAAAGTTAAATTCTTTAAAGATCTGTTATAAATCTGAATGTTCATTGTGTTTCAACACACTACAGTTTAATCTCTGACCAGTTTATCAGGATAGGATATAAGAATGCAGTCTCAGTGCTGTGCAAAGCCTAAAAAGGAAAATGAGCGATGACATGACAACTCCTCACTCAAGAAGGTCTCTTAAATCTTGCTGACTATCAAACAAAATTGATTCTGCTTTTTCTTCAGGGCAGGACAGCAACAGTATGATTTAACTTGCAAAGTACTCAAGAGGCTGATATTACTAGCTACCTTGCTTTGTAGTTGCGGTGATTGAGATCAGTTGCTTCTCATTCTACTAGAAACACTTCTCACTTCTATGAAGCTAGATACACTGTTGTGGTGTTACATTTTATTTTCTGAAGGGAAGACATTTTCGAGCTGTTAAAAGAATCCAGATACTGCTGTGGTCTCTATGGACACCTCTTTCATTGTGTCTCACATCACACTCATTCGCAACACACAAATTCTTCTTAATTCAAGTGGAAAAACTTTATACGTTTATCCAAAAGCTGAATTTTCTAGTTATTTATTTCCTTGTTCAAGGCAGATCCATCAAAGACAATCTACCAGATATCTTTTGACATTACCCAACACCATAAATGTCATTTACAACTGTTTAATTTCTAAGAGAAATACTTACTTACAACTTAAACTTAGAAGAATAAAGTTAAGAACTTTGAAATCAGGTGATAACATTTTGCATGCAAGAATGTATTTCCTAAGCATTAATTTTTATGTATGTGCTGTGAATAGGTTTCTTTTGTACTATTCATGAAGCTGATAATATCATAAAGACTTACAATACATGGAAAAGGTGGAGAATGTGTGCATGTTGCATGTTGATCTGAAGTAATTTTATTAAATGTTACGACATCTTGAATCTTTGGAACTTCCTCTCTCTCGCTCCCTCTTAGTTTATTTTTGGGAGGGGCAAGAAAAGCGTTGTTAACTTACAGATAGAATTTATTATATGGTAGAAATGCACATAAAAACATTTAAAATGTTAGCTAAAAAAGTATCTGGTTGTTAATTGTGAGGATAAACTGCATCCCTCTTCTTTGTTTTACAATAGGTATTTTTTGCTAGCTCGTACCAATCCAGATCCAAAAGCTCCTGCAAGCAAAGCCTTTACTGGATTCGTTGTGGAAGCAGATAGCCCTGGAATCCAAATTGGGAAGAAAGGGGAGACTGTATCTTTTATTTGACAAGCCAGGAATTATTGTTCAGTTCTAAACCAATAATGTAACAAATTACCATTAGAGAAAAAAGACTGTTATGCAACTGAACATTTTCATATGCTCATGTACAATGATCTCTTCATTTTCACAACATACAGAAACAATTCATAAGACATACTTAATTATAATCTTATTAATTCAGATAAGGAATTATTTAGAATGGACTAAAGTAAGATGACTTTGAACAGCTGCAAAAGAATCTTTGAGAACTATTTTATTGACAAGTGCCAATAAATGAGAAGTAGTATGCCTTGAAAGGATAAGAAGCAAGTTGGACAATTTTAACCATAAATACACACACAGTGAGCTTTAATTTTAGCTGCTGCTGGTCAAGGAAGAGGCCTTGGAGACACTGGTGCTAATTCTCGCTTTTTAAAAAAAAAAATAAATTCCTATTTTTAGTGGTAGGCCAAACTGGATGTTGAACATTAGGAAAGGAATCTGAAAACTTGAAAAGCTCATTTATTTATTTACTTGTACACCGGTACTGCCTGCATATTAGATTCTTTACTTTTTCCACTCCCATCTCAAAGGATATAGTTGAACTAGAGAAAGACGACAAGACTGATTAGAGCTACAGAACTGATTTCATGTAAGAAGAAAGTAAACTGCCCAGCTTAGACAAATTAAGGGCATGCTGGTCTGCAAGTGCAAAACTAGTATTTGTCATGTATATGGTAATTTTTACATGAAGTGTTTTGGGGGAAAAAAGCATACTTTGAGTAAACTAAAGAATGAAAACGTATTGTACCTTTGAATAATCCAATTTAGTTGCACCTCTGTAAAATTCCTTTTTCAGGAAATGAATATGGGTCAACGCTGCTCAGATACAAGAGGTATTGTCTTTGAAGATGTGAGAGTTCCCAAAGAAAATGTATTAATAGCTGAGGGAGCTGGCTTTAAAATCGCAATGGGAGCTTTTGATAAGACCAGACCACCTGTAAGTATCAGAAATAACTTATTTATAAAATATAGTAGGAATTTCTGACTTCTTATTCTGTTCCGTATTCAATTCAGGTAGCAGCTGGTGCTGTTGGATTAGCAAAAAGAGCACTTGATGAAGCTACTAGATATGCTTTGGAGAGAAAAACTTTTGGGAAAGCAATTGTTGAAGTAAGTGGAGTGGGGAGGGGGGAGGAGAGAGAGAGGGAATATAAATAAAAGCTGTGTTTTCACACCAGATATACTACTACTGATTTTTTTGAAGGTTATTCCTTGATTTTTTTCGTTCCTTAATTTTTATATTATCTCTCTGCCATTTTTGCGTTTCCAAGTATATAGGTCAGCACCATTTAAGTAAACTTAGCTATGTGGTAACTTCAGGAATTTTTCTATAATTTATCAATGATAATAGTAAAAGCAGAGAGAAAACTCTGCCCCAAAACCTGAAACTCATGTATTATCAGGACATACTTAAGTTCTTCAGTGCTAATAAACAGGGATTTTCAGGAAAGGAAAAAACCTCTTGAGGTCTGTGAAATAAGATGCATGGTATTAATACTAATAGAATACATTGCCAATCACACCACTTACCAGTTTTAAAGAAATATTAATAAACAGCAAGGTAAATACCAGTCATAAATAGTAAAGAAAAACTTCATAATTCAGTGTTTAATCCCTATGACTAAATGGATTTGAGAATTAAAAACTTGAAAGTCTAATTCAACATACAATTATGAGAGACTGATCCATATTCTGTATTAAGAAGAGTATAGTTTTCTTGGATGTCATAGAATTTTAAGCGGGCAATGTTAACCTAGTTTATTTCATCATTCATAGCACCAGGCAGTGTCTTTCTTGCTTGCTGAAATGGCAATGAAAGTGGAACTTGCTAGGATGGCTTACCAGAGAGCTGCATGGGAAGTTGATGCTGGTCGCAGGAATACCTACTATGCTTCCATTGCAAAGGCATTTGCTGGTGACATTGCAAACCAAGTAGCTACAGATGCAGTACAGATTTTTGGAGGAAATGGATTTAATACTGAATATCCTGTAGAAAAACTAATGAGAGATGCGAAAATCTACCAGGTAAGTAAAAGACAGAATGTGATCTTTTATAGTAATGCATAAATTTTATATAAAATAAACTAATGGCTACTTATTTTAAATCATGATGTATACATATTAAAAAAAAAAAAAGTTTTTAGAACAAAAGCAATAATCTTTCAATTTAAAAAAAGTCATTCAAATCAGGCAAATTCTTGCATACAGAAGTCATTGCAGTGGACCAACAACTCAACCCACATAAGAGAAATAAATTATGTGGGTTTCTCCCCCCCGCCCCCCCCCCCCCCCCTAGTTCTTCTCTGCACCTTAATTTTGAAGCTTTTGAACTCTTAGGAAAAAAAACACCGTAGAAAAACCTGATCAAAATACCAATGCTTGCTTTGGTATTCTGTAAGTAGAGATGGTTTATATATAATGCTCTTCTTGAAAACCTTCAGTGATGGAAATCCTCTGACCTTCCATATGTATCCTGGACTGGTGCCTGCCTATAGTTTAACTTTCCTCTCAGCCTGAACACTAAAGCAGGTTCTTCACCTTTTTCCTCATAAAGTGTGGTGGGTTTTTTTTGGTTGGTTGCGTTTTGGTTTTTTTTTTTTTTCCCTTTCTGTTTCCAGCCTCTTCATCATTTGTTGCTGTGCTCTAAACCTTCTGTTTGAAACTTTGGTATCATAAGCTGGGTAGAATACTTTGGTTGAGATATCCCCAGTATTGACTATCATGGAATGATTCTCTTGCATGTGTTGTATTAACAGAAGTGTGACACAACCTGGAGTGATCAGCCTTTTCTTTAACAACAAAACCCACTCATATTTACTCATGTTTAGCCCATAGTCACCCGTAATCCCGTTTTTTTTCTGCAGTGTTACTGCCAAGAAATTATTCCATGTCACGTCATGATTCTTCTATTAGCATATGCTATGCTACAGTTCTTTATTCAGCAAAAATATTTTAATTGTGTTTAGCAAAACCAGTAATCTCTATCTTTTCACCTCCGTACGACACTAATAGTGACTAGGTAAAACATATCAAAATAGATGATAGCAAGACTTGCATGCGGACCATGACCTGTAATGTAGTTAGCTGTAACAGCTGTCACTCTTAAGATTCTAGGTAATTAATATTTCTCTTACAGCTGACTTCAAAATGAAAACTATTATTCTCACTAGCCAAGAATTTATGTTTCTCTATTTAAGGAAAAACAACCACTATTTTGGAATCTAAAGATTCTTAGAACTAATTGCATTCCTGTGAGTGAGGAAATGAATGATTAATTGAACTTTGTTATGATTGGGCTTTTTTTTTCCTGCCAGGTTGCATGCTTTTCTGGAGAAAGATTGTGTGAGGGTTAGAACTTTATTTGAAAGCTGAGATTGATTTCACAGGATCCCAGTTATTTAGATTTTTCCATTACACTGATCCATCACAAATACATGGCTAAGTAGACTTTTTTTAATTGTTCAGATTAATCAGATTTAGTATTAATTTTTCTGTGTTTTTCTGTTGCACTTCATCCTCAAAAGAATTCAGGAAAGGCTTTTGTCTTTAAAATTATTTTGTCCATGTCTCTTGATTATACCTTGCACTTCACTGTGCTTTACTGTATTGCTGCCCAATTCCAGATGGTATATGCTTTTGGCATATGTTTCATGTACAAAAACTTGGTTTTCCAACTTCTCTTCCATATATTTGATCTTTTTCAGTGTTACACAATTCTAATACTGTGTTTACAGGTAACATTTTTACATGTCCTTACTCTGCTCTAGGTTTCTCTGGCTACAAATCTAGGCTACTCTGGTAGAAACTCTAACTTAGTTTCCTTTCCCAAATTTGGAAAATTTCCCTCCTTTAATTGCCAGTGATTCTTGAACCACTTCCATTGGCTTATAAACCAAAACCTTTCTTGTAATTACTTAAGAAGATTGTGAGTTTTGATGTCTTTACACTTAAGTTTCATGGCTGTCTTCATCAGCAAGTAATTTAGTGCAATAGGAGCAGATTAGTAGATTGCAGGAATAGCTGCTGAGGCCCCTACAACTACACCATAAGCAGTTTGGGCAGGCTGAGTTCATAGCAAGCCTGTTTGGTCCCTTGGACTGTATGTCCCCGATGTGGATGTAATTGTAAGGGTCCATCTGTAGGCTTGGACCATTATGTCTTCATTAGGGATTGGTGAGTATTTGGTATATAGAGAAAGCAGAGCTTCCATTTCAGTTTGCTCCAAAAGGCACCTGGTATTCACAAAACACAGTCTGCTTTATGAACTGGATCAACATGGGGTAAGCAGCAGCAGTCAGAGAATTCACTCTGGGAATGAACAACAACTTCTGAACCAAAAAACTAATGTGAACACAGGTTATAGCGTATTTATTTTCAAAAAGCTTGGTAAGGTTCTTGGGAAGATTATTCATGTAAGCGAATGAGAAAGTGAACTTGAGCCATTTGTCAAACCAAGTTCTGGCAGAACTGGGAGCTGAAACACTGAAACCCCTATGTTGCCTCAGCCCTCGCATTACATTGCAGTGTACCTGGGGAGCATATGGCCTCCTTCGGCATTAGAGCTTCATATATGCCTTGCTGTCAGCAAACAAATAGAACGGAGGGATGATGCATTTTCTTCTAGAAACAGTCTGTAAGGATACATGATTAAAAAAACAAAACAAACCCAAAACTCTATAGGAGAGAGTACCAGTTAAAAAGAAGCAATGGAAATAAATGTATCAAAGAGAACATTTGGTACGACCTTGAAAGGCTAGTCAAAGAAAATACAACACTTCCAGCACAAGTCACCTCCTCCCCTCCACCTATTGTCTTAAATCCTACTTTGTAAAACCTAAATTATGTATTTTCTTCCTCAGATAAGAAATTTTCCTCATCCTTCTTCACCCACCATGTCTCTTTATTTTCATGAGAACCTTATTGAGTTTAGATAAGAGCACCTGAGAGAACAAGACTGTCTCTTAATGTCTTGTGATTTACTCCATTTAGCCCACTGTAGTTACTCTGTCATACTGGAATTTTCTGTTTTCTCTGTCTTTCTGCACATCCTAATCCACACTGGATTAGTGCCGTGAAGGTTTAAAAGTGTAGATCTGTTAAAACCTTTTAAAAAATCATCAGCTAACATTATTGCAATTCTTCTTTTCAGATTTACGAGGGAACAGCTCAGATTCAAAGGATGATCATAGCTCGTGAACATGTTGGCAAATTTAAGGCTTAAAGAAATGCATAAAGTGTGTCTGGCACTGCTGTAGTGTTCTGTGTTCTCATGGAAGAGGATTTTAGTACATTTCTCAATCTATTGAGATTAAAAAGGCATGGAGGGGAAAAAAAACCCACGACTTTCCTTCAAAATCTTTTTTATTCTGTATGTTATTAAGGACTACTTCTGTTCTCCCTGTCCAGTCCCTCACTTCATTCCTGACTAACAAGGCTGATATTTTCTAAACATTCTGAATTCCAAAGTGATTGGTCATTCAAATACGAAATGGGCAAGGAATGAGAACCTCACGATGCAAGCAATGTTTTCTCACTATAAAATTAGATGATCAGAATGTTATTTCTTACAGTCATTGCTGCATTCTAATAAATTTTTTTTTAAGAGAAGTGTGGTTGGTTTTTATTAATTTTGCTTGTCACATCGCTTAAATTGTATTTTGGGTAAGTTGTCCAGTGTCTAAAGTATGTTAATAGCTGTACTTCAGTTCCTACTATGCTACTGCTTACAGCAGCTGAATAGCCTTTCCAGTTCAGCAGTATGAAGGCCTGCGTTGCTGTTGTCTGCATGTGTGCCTGTTCTGAGGATTTAGATGCTATCTGTCGTGGTTTAACGCCAGCCGGCAATGGAGTACCACCCAGCTGCTCACTCACTCCCCCACAGTGGGATGGGGGAGAGAATCAGAAGACTAAAAGTGAGAAAACTCATGGGTTGAGATAGAGACAGTTTAATAGGTAAAGCAAAAGCCACACACACAAGCAAAGCAAAACAAGGAATTCATTCACTCCTTCCCATCAGCAGGCAGGTGTTAAGCCATCCCCAGGACAACAGGGCTCCATCACGCATAACGGTGACTTGGGAAGACAAACGCCATCCAGCTGTTCCGGCTGTGTCCCCTCCCAACTTCTTGTGCACCCCCAGCCTACTCGCTGGTGGGATGGTGTGAGGAGCAGAAAAGGCCTTGACTCTGTGTAAGCACTGCTCAGCAGTAACTAAAACATCCCTCTATTATTAATGCTGTTTTCAGGACAAATCCAAAACATAGCACCATACTAGCTACTATGAAGAAAATTAACTCTACCCCAGTCAAAACCAGGACACGATCCAATAGTAATAATACCAGTTTAAGAGAATGTGGCCTTTTGCACTGTTACGCTCACTTAAGCAAGTAAATGTTCAATTGGGATGATTCACTTCAAGTGAAAGTGTGTAGCTTTTCCTTAAGAATGACTTATGAGATCATTTTTATTTCAAATCCACTATACTTAAAGCTATTACTCCTTTCCATCAGTGTATATACTTAACTATGTTTGCAGCAAGAACAGTCGAGAAGGAATTGTTGTGAGGTATTTTTTTTTAACCTTGGATAGATCCTTCTTGGCAGTGCTGGCAGAATGGACACTTCCTGGACTTCTTTAACAAATTACTCGGCACTGGTGAGGCTGTACCTGCAGTACTGCATCCAGTTCTAGGCTCCCCAGTACAAGAAAGCTATGGACTAAAATGGAGGGAGTCCAGCACAGGGCCACAATGATGATTAAGGGTCTGGAGCATCTGTCATGTGAGGAAAGGCTGAGACTCTTTAGCCTGGACAAGACAAGGCTCGGGGGTAATCTTATGTATGTGCATAAATACCTGATGGGATGCAATGGAGGGTGCCAGCCTCTCCTCAGTAGTGCCTGCTGACAGGACAAGAGGCAATGGGCACAAATCAAAACACATGAAATTCCACTGGAACACAAGAAAACACTTTTTATTATGAGGGATGTTGTACACTGGCAGAGGTTGTGGAGTCTCCATCTGTGGAGATACTCAAAACTCAACTGGATGTGGTCCTGGACAACCTGCTCTAGCTGACCCTGCTTGGGCAGGTGGGTTGCACTGGATGACCTCAAGAGCTCCCTTCAACCTCAACAATTCTGTGAATTCATTTGCAATTTTTCACCAGAATGTCCTTGCCTCGCTGTGGTCTTTCATCCATCATCTGAATTTAGTGCTGGATGGTACAACTACTGTCATCAGGTATCAGTTTTGCAATGCTTATGTCTCAGGTAGGCCACCTGGAAAATTAGTTCTTTAAATAAAGTGTTTAATCACTATAAATCACCAACTTATTTACCTGCAGAAGACCAATAATGCAACATCCTTTATAAGTATTTGACATACGTAAAAAATAAACCTTATTTTTGACTGTTGTATGCAAGCCAGCATTATACATATTTCTTGTATAGAATCAAAATGGTGTTCCTGCCTGGTATGGTTCTCTGGGGGACGTGCCAGCATCAAGTGTTGGTAATCAAAAGCATGATCATCCTAGAGAGTTTTAATTAGGAAGCAAAGGGGTTTTTTTTGAACAAAAGGACAGTTATCCTTACCTGCTCTGTGACTAAATCCTTGGATTTGCTTTTCCATAGAACTGAGGTAACAGAAGGAAACTGAAGCTATTTCTAAATGTCCTGTTTGCTGTGATGCAAGAAAGCACACAGTTGGAGTTAGTACACTTCAAATTTTCTCCCTCGCCTGTTTTAAAATAACCTTTCGTTGTTGCAAGCCTGAACGTCTTCGTATATACACAAGGCTCGAGGGGGGGGCCCTCCCGGGAAGCAAAGGGGTTTTTTTTGAACAAAAGGACAGTTATCCTTACCTGCTCTGTGACTAAATCCTTGGATTTGCTTTTCCATAGAACTGAGGTAACAGAAGGAAACTGAAGCTATTTCTAAATGTCCTGTTTGCTGTGATGCAAGAAAGCACACAGTTGGAGTTAGTATACACTTCAATTTCTCCCTCGCCTGTTTTAAAATAACCTTTCGTTGTTGCAAGCCTGAACGTCTTCGTATATAGACAAGGCGCGGGGGGGGGGCCCTCCCGCGGGCCCGCTG